TACACTCGCATCTCTTGCTTTTATAAGTGGCTCAAAGTAATTGAGTAAAATCCAGATGTTGTTCTTTATTGAGTCAAGGAGCATCTAATTTCCTCACAGAATTTACCTAAGTGTGTATCCAACTGGGTAATGGAAAATAATGAGTTAGCAATATTAGACATTTTTTCTCAGCTGCACAAGTAGCTCTTATTTCCCACTTAAATGCTGTGCTTAAGCATAATTTTATAAGCTTCATTACACTTTTGTGAGAGGTGGGGTTTTTTGGGTTGTTTTTTTTTTTTTTCGCTTGGAAGGTGTCTTAAACTGGATTCCCCTTTCTGAAGAGCTGAACAGCAGTTAACTTTTGAAATAGGGCTTGTCTTAACTCGTACAAGCAGTTTAGCTTCTGCTAACTGAAGTGAAACATCGGTGCTTTAGTATCCTGAAAAAAAAAGTTGATTGTCTGCAGTAACTGTGTTATTCCAAAAGGTGTTACATAAAGGGAATCCATGACCTCTTCCTTCTATGTTTTGAAAAAATGGGTTAGCTGCTGGCCCCTCTCAAGCTTTGTGAAGTGCTCTCAGAGTATGAAAGGACACAGTTAGATAGGTAATGCGGACTCACTTACATGCCAAAAGTGGGTAATTTTGTCAGGAAACCTAGAATTTGTGTGTTATTCATGGACTTTTTGTGGATAATGTTGTCTGGCTTGTGTCACGAAGATGCATACAAAACCTGTGTAAGAGGCACCGTGTATTTTCTGTGTTATCCAGTCTCTTTTAAAGAAAAAAATGTTGTGCAACTATCTTTCTTTGCTTTCACAGCGATATCACACCCCACCTCGATCACGATCGTGTTCTGAATCCGATGATGATGAAAGCAGTGAGACCCCTCCTCACTGGAAAGAGGAAATGCAGAGATTGCGAACGTACAGACCACCTAGTGGAGAAAAGTGGAGTAAAGGGGATAAGTAAGATCCTTACTACAAATTTAGAATGTCTTGGGTTTTTACACAAGCTTTAATAGATTGTGTAGATGTACCATGTCATTCACGTTAGAATAAAAAATGTAAATGTCTGTCGTTAACACATTCCATTTAAATTCCAAAAATTAGAAGTGGAAAACTTCTTAAAGCCTTTCTGTTTTGCTAACGTACGCCAGATGAACACACAGATGTACACCAGATGAAAAGGGTCCGAAGAGTTGTTTCTGATGGTGCCATCTTGGATACTTATTTAAGAAGTAATTAATCGACCTGTCCAGTTTGCGGTTGCTTTCCACAGAGCTAGTCATGTCAGATTTCCTTCAGCCTCCAACATGGCTTTATAGTTTCTGTGGCCACCGAGTAAGACCATCAAATCCACCAGCCCTATATTGTTATATATTCTTCCTGCAGTTGCAAACTCTGATGGAAGCCAGCTCTCCAGAATTTCCGATGACTTGATACTAGATATGACCTATGATAGATAAACCTCAAGAGGAAAACTGAGGACTATTATATATCATCATTATTGAATAAGTGCAAATGTTTCTGGTAGTTCTTTTTGCATATTGAGTGCGTTCAGTTTATCGCTGTATTGCAGCGTACCAGCTAAAAGAATACTAAACAAGATGATGTCTTAAAAATCTGTATTTAAACATGGTCTAAGAATCCTGTAGTTGCAGAGGTCAAAGTCCTGTGGACTAGGGCAGTTGAAACATTAAATCTCTTTACACAGGTTCTGCCATTTGCAGAATTTGCTGATGTTGGCTGATTAATTTCTTAGAGAAGTAGCTTTCTTGGTAGTGATGTAATTCTGTATCTTAAAATGAGTGTAGCAAGCTCAGTCAAAACACAGTTGTCTGGTAGTAAAGGGGGGTATGTGTGTGTTCATTTTTTTTAAACTTAATCAGTAACATTGGAGGTGGGGGAAAAACTTGGTTTATCTGAAGTTTCTGAAGAATTTCCACTTAGTGCGGGGCTTATTTGTTTGTTTTCTAGGTTGAGTGATGCGTGTACAAGCAGATGGGATGAAAGAAGCGCGTCCCGGAGATCGAGATCTTGGTCACATAACGGTTATTCTGATCTAAGTACTGTGAGATACTCTAGTCATCACAAAAAGCACAGAAAAGAGAAAAAGAAGGTGAAACATAAAAAGAAATCTAAAAAACAGAAGCATTTCAAGAAGCACAAGCAAACAAAAAAAAAGAAAACATCAGCCTCATCGGATGTAGAATCCTCTCATTCCTTCCTCAGGAGGACAAAATCGTCTTGTGATCGTGAGAGGAAATCTCGTTCTTCTTCGTTGTCTTCTAGACATTCATCCAGACGAGACTGGTCTAAATCTGATAAGGAGGACCAGAGCTCATCGACTTTATCAAGCAGAGGGACTCGATCATACTACAGGTCCAGGTCCAGATCCAGATCTAGGTCTAAATCAAGATCTTATTCCCGAAGAAGTTCTAGATCAAGGTCAGCCTCTAAATCATCACGTTCTCGAAGCAGATCAAGGTCAAGTTCTAACCCTAGGCATCAAAAGACAGTTTCCAATTCTCCACGAAACATTTCAACGCGGTTGAATGAAAATAAGTTGAACAAGACTGCTGAGCCTGTGAGAGCAGTCATACTCCCGAGTGATAAAGTTGTCATACCACCAGTTGTCCCAGAAAGCCTCCCTGTTATACCCTTAAGTGATAGCCCACCGCCTTCAAGGTGGAAACCTGGGCAGAAACCGTGGAAGCCATCTTACGAGCGGATTCAGGAAATGAAAGCTAAAACCACCCACTTAATACCCACGCAAACCAGTTACAATTTAGTAGTGGTTAAAGAGGTTAACCCTTCTTCCTCGTATCACAAGCGACAGAGGAGTTCAGATAGCGATCGAAGCGGTTATTCCAAGTGTCGGAGCGAGAGAAGCTCAGATAGTTGGCTGAGATCGAGGAGCAGGTCCTCTCGAAGTAGGTCGTACTCAAGATCTTACACGAGATCCAGAAGTCCATCTAGCTCGAGGACAAAATCGCGTTCCTCGGGCAGATCACCATCACTGAGCAAATACCGCAGTGACAGGTCAGGTTATAGCGAGTCAACGTCTTACTATTCCCTTAGTGATGACGATAAACACAGAAACAAAAGAAAATCAGCATCAGGTGATCAAAAAGCTCGGTCCCTTAAAGCGAGGCAAGAAACGAGCTCTGAAAGTACTGTCCCTTACAAGTGTACAAAAGACTACGATGAGTCTTCTCAAGGACTGAAAGAGAGCGACAGTTTATCATCTTCAGACTTCTCTAGTGACAGCGAGCATTCAGCCAAAAGGAAAGCAGTCCAAGAAAAAGAAGGCCGGTTTCAATTAGGAGGAGATACTCAGAAACAGGATAAAAATAGTTTAAGTTCTGAGAGAGGGGAGGAGAAACCCAAGCGCGAGCGGGATTCTGATCACGCTACAAAGAAGGCGGCGAAGGAGAAATCTGCTGAGCAGCCTAGAGGTGGTGCGAAAACGAAACGAAAATCCTATTCGGGCAGTAAATGGGACTCTGAATCCAATTCCGAAAGAGGAGAGGCAAGGCATAATAGGGGAGATTCCAGACCCTCCTCCGGCAAAGAAGAAGGAGAGGCCACATCGGGATCTGATACGGAGCGTAGCGTTCCCAAAAGGGTAAAAAAGCAATCAAATCCTTCAGAAGGCTGTCTGGATTCTGAGTGTACGTGGCAGGCGAGCAAACAGCTGTCGTCTTCTGAATCCGACAGTTCTTGTTGTAGCTCGACAAACGTGAGAGGAAAGTCAAAAAAACACAAACATGGATCGAAAAAACCTCTTAAAAAATCCCATTCCAAAAAAGCAAAAGAGAAATCGAAAGGGAAAAAGGAAAAGAAACACAAAGTTCAGAAAAGAAAAGAAACGTTTCATTGGCAGCCCCCCCTGGAGTTTGGGGAAGAAGAGGAAGATGAGGTCAATGAAAAGCCGGTTACCAAGGATGATAAGAAAGAAAAGCAGCTTATGAGGGACATGAAGGATAAAACCCAAGTTTATGAAAAGGATGAAATAGTTAAAGTGGGAAATGGTGACAAGTCTTGTGTGGATGAAAACCTTTTGGGTAAAAACACTCCATGCAGTGCCTCACCGGAGCGCGGCGACCTCAATAAAGATGGCCTTGAAACCAACGCTCCAACCGGTGTTTTAAACTCAGGAATAAGCGTGACTGCTTGCAAGAGCGAGCTGAAACAAGCTGAGGAAAGTAACCAGAACGGGTTGGAGGACGTTATTCAGACAGATGACAACATGGAGATTTGTACTCCAGATCGTAACTCACCGGCGAAGGTGGATGTGGACGTCTTGTCTCCTGTCCTTCTCACCGCGAAACCTCAGGCTTTAAGTGCTAGTATAAACAAAGATGTGCAGGTTGAGACCCCTGGACAAGACGCTGTCAAACTAGGAAACAGTATTATAGACTTTATTAATATTAAAGAAGAAAAAGAGACGGGAAGGCCAGAAAATAGCTCCGTCCCTGTGTCTAGTGCTAAAGACTGTAGCTTAAAAAGTGAGATTGCTGAAAATACACAAAGCAGCGTGATAGATAATAAATGGAAGCCTTTGCAAGGTGTTGGTAACTTACAAGCAGCTGCAGTTAGCGCTGCTGCAGAAGTTAAGAACGTAGCGTCAGCACCAGAGCCTAAACCAGCAGGTTTAAGAATTGAAATAAAAGCTAAGAATAAAGTAAGGCCTGGGTCTCTGTTTGATGAAGTTAGAAAAACAGCCCGGCTAAATCGAAGGCCAAGGAACCAGGAAAGTTCCAGTGAGGAAGAATCTCCAAGTAGAGATGACAATAGCCCGTCCAGGAGTCTCAGCAGGTCACGGAGTAAATCGGGATCGAAATCCAGACACAGGACAAGATCGGTGTCTTACAGCCACTCGAGAAGTCGATCCCGAAGTTCTACCTATTCATACAGGTAAGGAGTGTGTGCTGTTCCCTCGGCCTGCCGGGTTAACCTGAGAGTTCTGGTGTGTTTAAGGCCCGTTTTTCAACTCAGGTTTTTCTTTTAAACAGCACTGTGTCCAGTGAGCAAGTAGGGAATAAATATTTAGCTTAAAAGATAAAGTTTTATAATGCTTTTGCTTCCTGTTTTCTTGTGCTCTTCTCTTCGGTCACTTTCTGTTTTGTGCTTTTCAAAGTTGTGCTCTGATTGTAGGTCAAGAAGCTACACAAGAAGCCGAAGCAGAGGATGGTACAGTAGAGATCGGTCAAGAAGTCGAAGTAGTTCCTACCACAGTTACAAGAGCCGTAGGTAAGTTTCTCTGATTGGAGATAGGGTTGGGGAGGGGTTAGAAAACGGGAAAACTGGGCGCAGCGGGGTTAGAAAACGGGAAAACTGGGCGCAGCGGGGTTAGAAAACGGGAAAACTGGGCGCAGCGGGGTTAGAAAACCGGTAAACTGGGCGCAGCGGGGTTAGAAAACCGGAAAACTGGGCGCAGTGGTCCGATGCTTCAGGCTCGGAACGAGCTGGAAACAGGCGTAGCCGTGCGTACTGCAGCCTGAAGTGTGCCAGTTGGAATAGTCGGAGTTCCCTGTTCCTGCAAGATAATTTTGTGTAACGTTTTGTAGTCGGGATGAGGAGTTCTGAGCGAGACATGTTCCTCCCCTCCTGCTCCTCCGGCTCTCCTCAGCACTTGTTTCTGATTAACTTAAAATGTCTCCGTGTTTTTGGTTTTGGCAGTCGAACCTACAGCAGAAGTAGGTCCAGAAGTAGTTCTTATGGTCATCACAGTCGATCCAGGTATGGATTATACATAATCTTACACAAACTCTGCAATAAATGGACTTCTTATAAAAATATCTTGGTATAAGGAGGCCCCTTTATCTATGGTACTTAAAAATGCTTCATGATAGCAACTTGAATCAAAGCAAAATCAGCATAAGATGCTTTTAAAAGCTGGAAATAACCAAATCATCCTGGTGTAGGTGACGATACAAATAGCAGTGAACACGTTTCCCTTTTATTGTTAAAATAAAATTGAGTTACGAATGGAATCACTTCGTTACTACTTCTCAGAAGTTTGGGAAACGAGCTTTTTACTGCTTCTACAAATGGTAGAGAAAACGCAAAACTTCTCAAATGCTTAGTAAGTCTTTTCTAGATGAATAAATTGGAGGTTTTTACTGTTGTTTTGAACATACTTGTATTTAAACTTCTATAAAAGTTTTATCATTTATAGAATTGTTGTTTGCCACGTCCTTCAGAAGTAGTTTCTGTATAGCACTCATCTCTAGATGACTGTCTTTCAAACATACATTTAAAACAAATAGCATTTTCGACAAGAAACGGTAAATTTACAATTATTTTCTTTTCCCTTTGAAGTAGGTCCTACACGTACGATAGTTACTATAGCAGAAGTCGAAGCAGAAGTAAAAGGAGCGACAGCTATCGGAGATCTAGAAGTTATGATCGGCGATCCAGGTGTGGTTTTGGGAGCGTGACTTCTGTATTTATGCCAAAAAACTTGCTACATACATACTTCTGATGTTCATAATGGTCGTGTTGTGTCCTGTCCCCATCCCCCCAAGCATAAAAACTACATTGTTACCAAAAGTAACAAAATTAAAATTAAAGCAAGTGTGTGAGTGAGGAAATGGGAATTTCTGACATAATTCAATTGGAGGGTGGGGAAGAAACCAGGATGAGAGAGATTTGAGAAAGTTCAGGTTCATGGTACGTATGCATTCAAAATCAGCGCCTTTGGGGTTTTTTAATAATTTTAGATGTTTCTTAAAAACTACAAGCAACTAGCTCTCCAGATTTAAATCGAGCGCCTTGTTAGGGATTATAGGCACCTGGTATGCAAAGAATTCCATTGGAGGGTAAATTCTTTTTGGTTAGACTGCAAAAGTGGATTTAAACAAAAAAACCCCACATCTGAAAGAGAAATTAAAACTTACAGTGCTGTCCAGAATTCATTTTAAACTTCCTAAACATCCTTTGAAAGAACATTTTACCTGCCCATCCAGTGTGCCTCGGAGTTTAGGATAATTTTATTCTACTCGGTCCAAGGGAATTATATAGGTGTAAGTGGGCACGCTTCGGAGATCAGAAGTGGAACAGGATGCAGGTAGATACTGAATATCAGCGATGATTTGGTTTGTGCCTCGTAATGTATTAGTCAGTGGTCAGGCAGGCAGGTCTCTGACTGCTCTAGTTTTCATTCCCTGCTGTCCTCATGCTCATTTTTCCCCGGTATTGTCCCAGCTCTCCGCAGGCTTTGCTCTCGCCCATTTCCCCATCTAGTTCTGACAGTGATTTAACTTCCATCTTGTGGTTGAGGGAAAATTAATGAGATTAACAAAGAACGTGGAAGTACACTTACAAAATCACTGTTTGAGGATGTCGGGAAGCTTCAGAGAAACACTGTTGGATTAGGACGTGCTCATCTAGAAAGCTTTCCTTACAGGCACGAGGCTAGAAAATCTGTAGTGACCGTTTATTCTGTGTAATTTGAATGTGTCCTGTGGCTTCTCTGAAACCATCTGGACTCTATCTTGACGGTTGGCCAGGTGCTGAGGTTGGAAGGCTTCTGGATAAGCCGAAACATTTTAATCTACAACTTCCACTCTGCAGGCACTCCTGTTGTTGTTAGGGGGCCTGGTGCTTAAGGCCCTTCTTCAAACGAAAAACTGCAAGATATAAACCAAAGGTTTGCGAAATCATCTTAGCTGAGAAACACTTGCAATAGATAAAATTATATTTGTTAGAATAGACTTTTCAATCTTATTATTAGTTATCGGCATTTAAAAACTTATTTTGGATGATTTCTTCGCTGTATCAGAGAAAGCAAGAAATTTCCTGGTTCCAAACATGGTTTGACTTGTTACGCAGGGTTTTTGTTGTATAAAGTTAATGATTATTTTAATTTTGGGTGTCCCTCGATGAATCCTTCAGTTTTATGAAATACAATCCTGTAAAGGACTTCTTGTGAGTTTTCTTCTTGTCTCGTGTGTGTCGTGACAGGTTTTTTTTTACATAATGCAATTTTGAACTTGAAGCTGGAAATACGATTTTGAGGCATTTTTAATCTCTCCTTTGTAGATCTTACGGCTCTGACAGCGAAAGTGATCGCAGCTACTCAAACAATCGAAGCCCCAGTGAAAGCAGCAGATACAGCTGAAAAAAATGCTTCTTTGACGACGGAAACTGTATTTCATAATTTTTGCAGTGTTACGTTACAGAACCTGTTTTGGCAGCGCCACGAGTGACGTTGAGGGTGTTCACGGGGTTAGCTGCAGCTTCGACAGCGAGCTCGCGTGGCCGTGTCCTTCCGGAGAGAAGTCCTGAGCTCCACTCGGTGGATTTATTTTTATTATTGTTTTTTTTACGTCAATTGCTACTTTTACAAAATAGGGGGGGGGTGGGGATGGCGGATGACAGACAACAAAGAAACCAAACCAATTGTGTTTCCTTCAATTGAATCTTCCAAGCCGTGGATGACACTGGGGTGAATTTGCTGCCGCTGCTTTTCTGGGTGCAGCAGTCAGTGCTGTCTGCAAGTAGGTTTATCCACACCTTAGGGCTCTCTGCCTGTTACTGTTAAATATGTGCTAGCAACTCTAAAACTGTGAAGAAAACCTCTTACAAAAGCTGCCATTTCTAGGTTATTAAAATACTTGGGGTTTTTTTTTTTCATGCGGGAAGTTGGGTTCCCTGCTGTCGTGTGTGTCGGTTGTTGGTCGTGGACGGTCTCTCCACCGCAGCTGGGTGGGGAAAAACAAAAGTGCCGCTCTGTCTTAATCCTCTCTGTGCTGGGACAGTGCAGAGGCCTGCGGGAAAGGCGGGGGGGGACTGTGCACGGAGGGGAGCTGTCAAACGGACAGGCAGTGAGCAAAGCGAGGAAGGGGTTTGGATCTTCCTGTCCAACTTGTCTAAACTTTTATGTTTAAAAGTGAGGTTTGTGATAAACAGCAGTGTCCTTAAGAGTCTCTGAAAAAGTGTTTCTAAACAGTTTTCAAATTTCATTTCGTCTTACAGCGCTTGGCCTACTTCACGTTTCGAAGCTGAATGTTGTAAACTGTTGAGTGTATCATGAGTTTGTTCAAAACACTCTTTTTTAAACTGACATGATGATAGTTTTTTTGAGAAAACAAACCATAATGGTTCCTTTATAAAATGGCTGGAGACATATCCCGCTTGCCATGGGGAATAGCAGATACTGATACTGCAGATAGGGAACTATGTATTCTTAAAGTGATCTGACTCTAAAAATACTGGTATGCCTGATCAAAAGCATGGACAATACTTTCAAAGTGAAGTTTAATACCAAAAATGACTCCATGTCACAGGTGAATGGTTTGCAAAAAAACCCCCGTAGATTTAAGCTGACGAGCACTGAGTAATTTTTGCAATATTCTGAGTTGATTTAAAACAGTTTGTAAAGCTTTTCAGTGTTTAGAAAGTTGCGGACTAAGAAACGGTTTTTTAATGACATAATGTAACCTGAAAAGTGGGGTCCGTAGTGCAAACCCAGACTAACGTAGCTTTATGAGAGCTAATGAGTCCTGTTGTATTATCATAGTTTTCATTACTGACTTTCTGTAATATCTTGAGATGCTTTCATTTTCTCAAATGGTTTCCAATATTGAAAGTGACTTTTTTTTTTTAAAAAAAAAAAAAATCTCATCAGGACCCAACAGCTTTGAAAATTAAAAGTGGTAATTTCTTGCTTAGACATCAGTTCGTGCTGTCTCTTTTGATTGAATTAAGCTATCCAAAATTAGCTTTGGGTACACTTCTGAAACATGAAAAGGAAGCTCAAAGTGAAGTTGGAAGACTGTAATGATGCCCCCCGTTTCTCTCCACCAACGGCTGAGTGAGACGTTTGTACGCGGGTCCCTAAAACCGCATTTGTCACATGGGCTTTGCGCTTCCTAGAACCACCCCAAATTCTGGATTTACACCCTTCCTGCTCCTGGAGTTCAAGGAAAAAAATGTGGGCACATAATCCTTTCAAATCAGCATTTTGTAAGCTCCTTATGCTTTTTAACATCAAGTACAGTGGTTTCTCAAGTCAGTATATGTTTACAGACAGGTTTCTAACGGTCGCAGCCATTTGAGTCCTGAACAAACTGCATTCAGGAGGGTGTTTGATGCAGTTCCATCGTTTTAAGTACAAATGTAACTTGGTTTTCCCCTTTCTGAGAAAACTGAACTACTGGGCTAGTGCTGTAACAGCACACACAGGTACAAGCATTGCCATTCAATACTTTTTAGAGGAAAAAACCTGCCCCAGAATTGGACTTTGTCCTATTTCAGATCTGAGTTGACTTTTTATTTTTAAGGAAAAGGAATAAAAATATGGTCAATCGAGTAACTGTAGTTGTCCAAAATTACTGCACTGCCACTCCTGTCTATTTCGTATCCTGAATTAAAGCTTTATAGAGAAATTCCCTCTGGTAGGTGGTTGGGGAGGGGTGTGAGGGGCAGTATTTTTACTTAGTGGAGTCTGTTAACGTGTGCTTCAGATAGAAGATGTACCCCCGAGCTGGTTTTCTAATGTCGGTCTATGTTTTCGCAATTTTGTTATTCCAAAGTAGTTGCTGTTTGTAAAATAAACTTTTGTACATATCTGCCAATGCTGTTTTCTCTGCATCTGGAAAAATCCATCGCTGCTTGGGGGAAACGGGCAGGAAAATTAAAAATGTGCTTCAATTTCTGTATCCGCTGTTGTCCCTCACAAGGCTGCCTCCAAGTTGCCTTTCCTTCTCCTGACCTACATAGAGAACGAGTCCTCGGCAGCGCTCGCTGCTGGGTTTACGTAAGAGTCGTTGGAGGAACAAATATTTTGAAATTTCCGAGTGACTTGAGGTCTTGCCGTTTCCTCAAGATACATAAGAGGTTCCTCTCCTTTGTGAAAAGATACATTTAACAGATCCACACGGAAATCCCTGAGCGTGCTCAGTTTAACTACTTTGCTAAATATTCTTTCCCAAATACACATTCCCAGGTCATTTCCGTAGCATATTGGAAATGTGGTGTTAGTTCAAGTCGGCAGATGTAACGGCTCAGCAGACTAATCCGTGTGTCTTTTAGACCACCTGTTCCAGGAAAAACTGGATTTCTTTGGAAAATACCAGCTTTGTCCTAAAGGAAAGGATAATTGCCTTGGCCTAAGGTGAAAAGGGCAAGTGGAAGTGTTTCCGTGTTGTTGATTTAGTCTTTAGGGTGATCCAGTTAACCTGGCTCTTCCACACTTCAGAGCCCTGCCTTTGGGGAGGAGGCACCAGGCAGCTGAAGCAGGAGAAGCAGGAAT